TGGGCTGAATTGGGGGTGGGTATGCCATTTCCATGGCCTGCCCCATTAGGGAAGAAAAAACTAATTATATAACTACTATGTTGAAAAGAAAAAAAAGAAGTAAGACAAGATAATGAATATATAGAATACATACTTAGAAGGCAATATAACAAATAAATAAGTAGTTTGGCTTAAGATTTTTATACCATATAATCTACTAAAACTTAGTCGATACTCTGTATGTTAATAGCATACTTATATATGAGGTAAATGATCTTGTGTGTTTCTATTTTGGGTCATTTGAATAAAATAATGCAGCTATGCAGAAAAATATATTAGTAAATACAGTGCTGAATAAATTTATTTGGAAGTCTGTTTTTTGTTTCCCCCTTTTTTAAGTAATTGGGTGAGTTTTGAGGTTTGAGCATTTATTTGATCACTTATATGCTAACTAATTATGTTCGTAACTTGGCATTTTAGAGGTTTGCTTATTGGTTTCAAATATATAATTTTAGCAATAAAATAACAAGAACTATATTGTGTTTGTTAATTGAAAGGAGAAAATATAGAAATATTTTTCCGAAGAATTATATATGAAGCAAATGAAACTGATACTTGTGTTCTTATAAACACTAAGGAAGTATACTTCTAATTTTTGCAAAATATAATGTTATAGTTCAAAAGAAAGCAAGTTATCACCATATTCCGAAGATGGAGTGTGCACTCTGTATTATCACATCAGATGAAATTCAGTACGAAATTGAGTTTTCATTGGATGATTTATAGCTTCCCCCAATTTTGTAACGGCACAAGGAGCGGGAAGCAATTTTTCCGGCATTTTTCCGATTTTTCTCCTATTTATTACCATATTTTAAATCATTTTGCATTCAAAAATTTCAAACATAAAGAAATAACACACATGGCGACAGCTGACCACATCCCCCTTCAATAGGTGCACACGTGTACGCCAGTGACCATTACCAAATCCTTCCTTTGAAACAGAATTTAAATGAATATTTCTATTTTCTTAGAAAATTCTTAACTATATATAAAAAAATCGGGAAAAAATTTCGCAAATTGCTACGAACTCATTTAAACTTGATAAATCAAAATTCAAATGTGTGTTGACATTTTTACTAATCATATGAGGCTCCTATGATTAACTAAATCAAATACTCTGATTACTTAAAAAAGAAAGAAAATAAAGTGATGGGACAAAAGGAGAAAAGACAAAATAGAAAACTTCCGGACATAATATATAAACGTTGTTTTATGCCTATGGGATACTCATGCCTTACATCTCTCTTTTCTTCTTTCGAGTTGTCTTTTTTGCATACAAACCTTCAGTCGAATCCCCCAATCTGACGATTTTTTCAACCTGTCCGCTAGTTCAAGTGCCAATGCGAATCAGGGGGCCTCCGATGGGTCATGATTATCCAAGGTCCCCTCCACCACCGCTGCCTCTTCCAACCTCCTCCGCAAGCGAGGGAGACTCTGATGATCCCACTGTGGAAATAAATGATATGAAGAACAAAATAGAACACAACTCTTCCTTGGTCCATTATTGGACTCAAAAGTTTGTCGAAACTGAGCAGAAGTTGGCTTATTTGACTTAGCAAGTTAACAAAGCCCGTTACAGAAAAGAGAAGTCGAGAATTCGTGCCTAAAGAAGAAAGCACAAAGCAGAGGATTTGCATATGACAGAGGAGGATGCTACGTATGAATCTTTGAGCATCCACAAAGGAGGCGACAACCAAGGCCAGGCAATGTCTGTGGCTTTCAACGAAGGTTTTGAGAAATTCCGACGGTTCACTGCAGATGTCCACAAAGATATTGACTAGGACACCATAACCCCGTTTGCTGCATAGGAAATCATCTCCAGCGATGCACACCAAACAAAGTAAGGCCACCAACCAACAAAAAGCAACGATAATGACTGGTGATAGCCATATCAATCCGTAGGCAATCCCTTAGCAGTTGTTTGTTTTTGTTAATGCCCGATCTGGGTTAGTGTTTAAATGTTAATGCTTGATCTGGGTTAGTGTTAATTCCTGATCTTGGCTTTGTGCAGCTTATTTCATTTTACACTGCAATCAGAGCTAGAGTTCAATCATAGCTCGATCACTAACTTCCAGATTATAAGCATTCATTTCGTAATAGTGCTCACATTTTTTTGTTTAATTCATTGACGGTGGGGAGACAATTTGTTTCAAGATTCTCTGACACAGATATTCGATTGGTTGAGACTTGACAGAGACATAGTGATGGTTTCAAGATTCTCTTACTGACACATAGTCTTGGTTTCAAGATTCCCTTGGACATTTTCATATTCATTGCAACCATTGCAAATTTGTGTATAAAACCCCTTGCATGATTCCCCCAAACTCATTCTCCTTCAAACAAGGGCTTCAGGTTCTGAAAACCCCAAAGCCCCAGAGGACATTCGGGACATCCACCTTCAACCAAAGATGGATCCGAAACTTCGAGTTACGCCTAATTATTGCAAGCATGGTGCCATTCACGACCATCATTGTGGGACGTGCAGGGATTTATTTGCAAGTGTAAACCCCCAAACTTAGAGTGGTGCCAGGATTGATACAATGACAAACTCTTTCTAGATCAGGAGGAACGTGGCTGCTTTGAGTCAAGTGATGACTCTGATGTTGAGAACTAAGTGGCTCTTCAAGTAAGTTATTGTTGATTTTTATTTTGGTTTTTTTTTTTTTTTTTTTTTTTTTTTTGGTATCTCTGAATGTAAGTCATGCGATACTGAAGCTTCCAAATAGTTATGTGTTTAATGAACCATATTTCAGTATTAATGGACATGAGGCATTTACTAATATTCACTAACGCTTCCAAATACTTTAAAAAAAGATGTAAATAGGTATCAATAAATGTTCAAACTCCAGGACCATAAACGAAATCAAACTCTTCCAGATAGTTGTGTTTAATAAACAATAGTTCAGTATCAATGGACATGAGGCATTTACCTAAGATTCACTAACGCTTCCATATACTTTCAAAAAAGATGTAAATAAGTATCAATAAGTGTTCAAACTCCGAGACCATAAATGAAATCCAACTCTTGCATAAATGACTCTGTCATAGTAGGTTCACTGTCCTGCGTGCTCTGAGTGGGCTGCAAATTCTTAGCAACTGGACCACCAAGTTCTATGTTGGAAGATGAAGAGCTGCCATATCAGGAAAAAAAAGAAAAATAAACATCAACAACACAAAATTCAAAGCAAAATATAACACATATTCACTTACGGGCTTGCAAGTTTTGGACAACTCCGTCTATCATGATCAGTCTTCCTACATTCAGTGCATCGACGTTTATGTCATTGCACTGCCTTCTCTTTTTCTCCTTTAACTTTTTTCGCATGCCCTTTTGCTTTCACTCGATGTGGATCTTTGATTCTCAGTTGGGGATAACTAGTTCCAACGTCTCCATTGGGTTCTTCTTCGACATGAGCTCTTGATGACACTAACCTTGTAAGCTTCCCACGAATGTCGTCAAAAGATTTTTCCAGCAACTCAAAACCTTCATCACACAACAAAGCCGAATCAATCAAATCACTTGCAACTTTGCAGACTTTCGATCTCTTAACCAAAATCAAACCATCAACACAATCGTTAACTTCTTTGTGATTCTTATCATATATTACACTGTTTTTCGCACTTTGAAGCCATCGTTTCAATATGCACTTGTTTGGAAAGTGCTCAACCTGCTTCATTCTTAAGAATGCTAGGATGTGTCGGCACAGAATACCCCAAAATTCAAATCCTTTGCAGCTGCAATAAGCTTTATTGGCATCTTTATCATGCACAAGCTCCTTCATCCGTGTCACTCATAGATTTACCCGCTTACTTACTTTGTATATGCAGTGCGTCTCATCTTGCTCTACAAATTTGAACAAGCATAAAAGACTTCTGAAGTCTTCCCTCTCAAACATTTCAAGAATTTCCCGAGTGTAAATGCATCCCATTTGATGTTGCATTGGTGTTTGAAATGGCAGTGGAGGTTTTTCATTGTTATCAACATGATCAGCCATTAACTGCTTGTGTCTCTGTGAACCAAGAGCTCTTTCAAAACGTAGAACGAATTCCATCAATGTGTTTTTTTGGTTAATATATTGTTTGAAAGATGAATGACAGCTTTCGGCCCGTTAACTATTTGACATCCCAGCTAAAAACACATGTTTTACATATGATGGAACCCAATTCTCCCGCATAGCATGAATTGAGCTCAGCCACGCATGGTCTTTCAGCCCATTGTTTGTGAGGATTTCCTCCCATTTGGCATCAAATTCTTCTTTTGTGTCCATACCCCATATGCATTTGCACATTTCTGAAAAATATTCTCCAATGTCGGGTTTCTCTGTAATCTTATTCAAGATATGCCATATGCAATATCTATGGAATGTTGTCGGGAGGGTTACAACAATTGCCTTTGACATGCTGTATCTTGATCAGTGATGATCATTTTGGGTGGCTCACCCAACATGGCTTTCTTGAATTCCTCTAACACCCATACAAATGAATTTGTGGTTTCACTAGTTAGGAATGCACGACGAAACAACACTGTCTGCCGATGGTTATTAACGCCTAACAAAGGAGCAAAGACCATCCCATAGCGGTTCGGGTTGAACGTCGTATCAAATACCACCACATCTCCAAAAAACCCATAAGCTCGTCTTGACCTTGCATCTGACCAGAAAACATTACCCATCCTTCCTTCCGAATCTACCTCCATCTTGAATAAAAGGATTCATTCTTTTCTTGCTAAGCCAAAAAATGCTCCTTGAGCAGCTCTGCATCATGCTCAATCACCTCTCCACGCACGTCCCTTAGCAAACCCAACATTTTCCAATCCCCCTACTTGCACCTTAAGAAGGCTTACCTGTTTATGTATAGGAATATTAACTTTGCTCATATGTGCACTATTGACCTTTGTAGACTCTGTTAAGTTATGGTGAGATCTCAATAGATGGACTTTATCAACTGTGGTCATGTCATGGTTGTGTATCTCATTGAATCCTACAATAATGTACTTATTCTTGCCTCACAACCAGTTCGAGTACAACCTCTTTGTCTTCTCTTACGACTAATTGTTCTTGTCAACGAATACCCCTGTTTGCAACATACATACTCCTTCCATGTTACCTCTCTTGTCAGTGTGCACGTTCTTGTTGTAGAACACCGAATACCGAATCCGGCTTTCGCAGCATAGATATTATAGAAATTGAACACATCATCACAACAATAAAATTTAAGTCCCAATTTTGGTTTTCAACTCCGACCTTACTTCCGGTGTCACTTGTCCTTCACACTCCATTTCACAGTTCTTGCAATTTAACCCTGAATTCACCACCATCATACCAACATTGGCACATGCTTTCAAAGAGCTTTAAAATATATATATTAACTAACATATGATATGAAAATGATTCTCTGGTGAAATATTAAAGACCTACATACAAACTAATGTAACTGTTTGTGCCTAAATAAATCACGGTCGTCAGAAGGGACCTCTTCTCGGCCGTGGCACCTATTCATGGACTGAAACGACCACGTTTCGTCAGAAATTTAGCCTTTTTGAAAGCAGAAGAAAATACGAAGGCAGGATCTTCTCGGCCTCACAACCACGGGATTATGGGCCGAGGCCGAGGTCCATGAGAGACACGGCCAAAGATACTATGGTCAAATCGCCACGTGGCCTCAAGGTCCCACACCCCATTTAATGAAGCAGTGCCTCTGACTGCCACAACAAAACCACTGGGTGCAAGAAGCATTTAATGCACGAGGGCAGAAGGGAAGTGATTGAAGTCAAGATTTGGTAACAGGAATCAGAGTGGTTAGGCACAAACATTCTTACAATGCATTCTCACAGCTTGAGGTCAGATCACCAACCACTGAACCAAAGCATCAAATGCGTTCCCATGGCCAAGAGTGCAGAGTCCACGATCAGGGCGATGGCCGAGATTTGCCGAGATTTATGGGGGTCACACCACCATGCTTCACGATTCCAAATGCCGATTTGACTACCCACTTGCCCCGATCAGACTCCACCATGCAGATATTTTCAAGCCATTAGGCAGATCTTTTTTCAGCCTCGATTGGCCCTCCAGGACTCCCCTATAAATACTAAGCTCAAGACCACGTTCAAGGGGTTCAAACACCAAACCAAAAGCCTCCTACGGAGCAACTTATATTTTCTATAATGCACTTTCAATACCTTTATTTGCTTTCTTAGGAGTAGTGGTAGACTGTAAGGAAAATCCATTCATCAATATATCATATGAACCTTGATTTTCAAGGCGCCGGAGTACCACCTCTGTTATCGCCTCACTCACCCCATATATCATACGACCGTAGCTCTCTGAGCAACGCACCGGAGCACCGCCTAACACCAACACCACCACTAAACGGCCTTGTAGCTCAGGCCGTGAACATGACGGCCGAGATTCGTTCCTCACTCGGTCACAATCGTTTGATTAGGAGTCGAACGCAAAACAGGCGCAACATTTAAAACCATCTTCTACCTGAACCTCATCATCACCTCGACGCACGGTAGACCGTGTTGGCATGCCCGCGCACAACCGCACCGCATCCAAAAGGAGGACATCACGTGTTGACGCACATCCCCTCAGCCCGGAGCACCAGGCCGCGAGATTTGCAACGGACCAACAGTAACTCATGCCGCGCAACATTTAAAACCATCTTCTACCTGAACCTCATCATCACCTCGACGCACGGTAGACCGTGTTGGCATGCCCGCGCACAACCGCACCGCATCCAAAAGGAGGACATCACGTGTTGACGCACATCCCCTCAGCCCGGAGCACCAGGCCGCGAGATTTGCAACGGACCAACAGTAACTCATGCCTATGCCCAATAATAAACTTGACAAATACAGTATATCACTTACCTCGTGAGCCATTTCCAACTTCAAAATTTCTACAAATATGACAATGTCGCCCTTTTAGATCTGGACGTCAACCCTAAACACTTTTCATCTTCCTCAACCCCTGTTTCGACCGTGCTCAATGATTTCAAAACCAAGAGAATAGAACAACGGTCGTGGTCACTAGTTTCCAACTCAAGACATTGCTCAAGGATTGACGAATGTTCCAACCAGAAAGATGATAATATAAAATACACGAACACTTTATTTCGCCTAAATGAGAAATCTAGAAAAATGAGGGCTATACTTCTGCGTTCTTCCTGGAATCGAATAAGGAATAACAGGGGCACTCTCTCTTCAGTGTTATTGGTCTTGCTCAATCAAAGCTGATAAAAAAATTGGGCACTTGATTGAACAAACAGAACAGCTGGATTGAAGGGGACGTTTGTTTTCGACTCGATGTTTTGGAGGTAGGCGAGAGAAGAACACCTCGTTCTAATACAACACTTACACTTACAATTGCTTTTCATGCAGCCGTTAGATTAGATCCAATGGTGTTCTCATGTAATGTTCTCACATAAGCGTTCTCATTAAAGGCCCAATTTTTTTTGGTTACCTACAACATTTTTCCCACCCAAAATGGCTTATATAGATTAATGGGTTTGTTCTAGAGCTCAAAATAGAATGATATGCACTCAAACTTTCTTCCAACCAATGTCAAAGATAGCAGCCCCTGCAAGGTCCGGTCAGATAACATGTGCCCACAAGCTATTTGACGAAATGTCTCATAGAGACTCGATCACTTGGAATGCAATGCTTACTAGCTATATCCAACTGGGTTTTCACCAAGAAGCCATTTCTCTTTTCCACCACATGAGAATTTCTGACACTGGGCCTGATCACTTCACCGTTACCGCAACTTTAAGCGCATGTGCTGGCGCATTCAATCTGCTGTGTGGAATCGATGTTCATGCTTTAATAACTTTTTTGGGCTACCAGTTGTACTTGCCGGTTAATAATTATTTTATTGATATGTATGGGAAGTATTTGAATCCCTCTAGTGCTAGGAGAGTGTTTGAAGAGATGAAACTTAGGAATGAAATAACTTGGTGTTCGTTTTTATTTGCCCAAACAAACTCTGGTCAGCTTGATGTTGCGTGGGAATTGTTTTCTTTGATGTCGAGAAGGGTGGAGATAGCTTGGAATATTATGATTGTGGGTTATGCATGATATGGGGAAGTGGAGTCTTGCTTGGATTTGTTGAATGAGATGATAGAGAGTTTGTGTCAGCCGAATTAGTGGACTTTCAGTGCTCTGATGAATGCTTGCTCTGAAGCATTGGAATTTTGGCATGGTTGCATGGTGCATGCTCTTATCATTACAAGTGGTTGGAGCTCTGCCGCATAGGTAAATAACTCAGTTTCAAGTTTTTAAAGGTTTTTGAGTCCACTGGAATTCTGACACAGGTGTCCTGGAATGCCATGATTGATGCCTACATGAGACTGGGGAATACCCACGAGGCACTTCTTATATTTCAGCAAGCCCCTGAAAAGAATATTGTCTCCTGGACATCTATGATGTCAGGTTATGCAGGAAATGGACATAGGGAAGAAGCTGCTACCTTCTTTGTGGATTTGGTGAGAAGTGGTGTCCAACCAGATGATATCATATTCAGAGCTGTCCTTCATGCATGCTCAAGCTAGGCAACACTTGGACATGGTAAAATGGTCCATGGTTGCATACTTCACTATGGCTTTCATGCTTACGTCTTTATTGGGAATGGTTTACTTAACATGTATGCTAAATGTGGGGATTTACAAGGGTCAGTTCTTGTGTTCAGTGATATTTTCAAGAAGGATCTGGTATCTTGGAATGCTATGCTGTTTGCATTTGATTGCATAGGCAAGCTACCCAAGCTCAACAGGTTTTTGAAGAGATGGTAGAAAATGGAGTAAAACCAGATAATGTGACCTTCATTGGTCTGTTGATGACTTGCAGCCATAATGGGCTTATAGAGGAAAGTCGCGTGGGTTTTGAAACCATGGGGGTCAGTTTATGGGATTTCTCCTGAAATGGATCATGTGGCATGCATGGTGGATATGCTTGGCAAGGCGGTTACTTAGCAGAAGCGAAAGAGTTGATTGATAAGTACTCAAGAGTAGGTAGTGCTCATATGAGCTCATGCGAAGCTCTATTTGGAGCTTGTTTCCATAGGGGGATGTAGGAGTTGTGTGGAAAATAATATGGAGAATATGTATAAGATTACATAGGAGTAGGTAGTGCTCTGTTTGGAGCTTGTTTTGTTTACAAGATTACATAGGTATATATGTATAAGCTGGGGAAGGCTAATATCCACTGGCCAGATTCAGAACCATTGGCCAGTCTAAGAGCTGTTGGCCAACACACCATAACATTTAACCCCTAATTATAGGAAAACTTTAATTACGAGTAACAATATCAAATCCCCTAAATTAAGGACGTGTAAATCAATCACAGCTAGCAGCCACCAAGCTAATCATAGCTATCAGCTACCAATACTTCCAATACTCCCCCTCAAGCTGGATCAAGGGGATTAATTGATCCAAGCTTGGGGAGCAAGCATTGAAACTGAGTGGAAGCAAGAGACTTGGTGAAAACGTCAGCAAGTTGATCATGGCTCCGAGTGAATGTGGTTTGAATTACCTTGGACTGAACTTGTTCACGAACATAGTGACAGTCAACTTCAATGTGTTTCGTGCATTCATGGAACACGGGATTGGAGGCAATATGCATAGTTGCCTGATTGTCACAAAAAAAGAGACATAGGTTTGTTGCTCGAAAAAACCAAGTTTGCCAATGAGTTCACATGT